TTCTAGAAAAGTTCGGCTATTTAAAGCACTTTGGACTTTAAAAGAATATCAATTTAAACTGGATTAGGCGCGCGTTCCTAATTTGGTCCAATTTAAGTAAACTCTGGTGAATAATAGTTCTCTGAACACCTTTTTGAATTTAGATTTAACAGTAGCATAGAGCTAAAATCTCTTCAAAGTCAAATTCATTCAACAAACAAAGATTCAATCTTTTTCATCAAACAATTTGGCCTAAGAAGGTTTTATAATTTCAGAGACAATAATAAATCAATAAATCAACTTTGAACAATTCAACATCAACACACAAACAATTCATCACTTATAATATAACTTAAACATTCAACATAGAATTGGAATTGAAAATAATCATATTTAAATAATGGATATCAAATTCATCAATTGGAAATTAAACAAATTCAAAATCCTAATTCATAAAAAAATAAAATTGAAAAGTAAAAGAAATGCTCCCTGAATTAACTTCTGCGTTCACACTAAGCACAGAGCCAGACCACAATGGAATCGCCGTCCCTGCCAAACTGCCGCCATGACCTCGGCGGAACTGAAGCCGCCATCTTCGTCGGAATCAAGTCGTCGCCGGACGCTGTCATCGCCGGAATTGTCATCTCCGACCTAGGGTCGGAACCCTAGGCCAGCACTTCTCTATTCACGATCTCCCTCTGTTCTCTGTTTCTATCCGATCTGGTATCTGCCCCCCCCTTCAATCTCATCTCTATCTCCTCTCTTTATAATTGAATTTTGAAGATATTGAATTGGAGAAGAAGACTGTGCAATCCACCTCTTCGCACTTCTTCCGCTGCTCTCCGTTTATTTCTTCCGTTTCGTGCGCGTGGAAAGAGCACGGCTTGTCTTCTTTTTTTTCTTTTAACTTTTGTTTTCCTTTGCTTCAATTGTGACTTGATCATGTGGGTCAAATTGACTTGGTCCAATAACTCTTTGTAAATATGCATTCAATTTTGACATTTCTTCATCCTTTTGTACTCCATATCTAAAAATTTGTATCAAGGTAATAAACAATACTTCCAAAATATTTATAGAATATAAATATGCTCAAAATTTTGCATTTTATATACAAAATTTAAACAATAGCCTAAAATGCTAAATAGAACAAAATGTGATTATTTAGGTATAAAATGCATATTAAATATCTTAAAAGTACTAAAAAATGAAAGAATAAAATATGACATTTTGTGACTTAACAGTAGATAAATGCAATCTCTTATTCCTGGTCAACATATAAACTTTACAATACAATTCAACCAGTACATTTGTGAAGAATTGGTGGTAGCACCTATAATTTTATCTATCAAAGCTATGAGTAAAACTTGAAAAATTTAGATAAAATCACCTCTGGCTACAACGGTTTTTCCCTCCGAATGGTTCATTTATGAAATTGTTATAGAACCCATTACATCTCTCATTATGAAATTCAATGCCTCAAAAAAAATTTTATTCATCATTGATGATTAATCCCATTCGATTAAACTTGTTGGATTATGTCTACTTTCGAGCTCCTTTGTTTTGATGGCACACGATGAGCACTCGTTTAGCGACATAGGAATTAAAAATCTCGAGTGTATTGTCATTCCCCTAGGAAAAAACAATGCTACAATGCAGTTGGATCCAACATTCAAGACAACTTTACCATTTGACCTCAAAGAAGCAGGCAATAATTTCTAGAGAAATATTTTTCCAGTTCCACTGTAACCATGCACAAAAAAACTTCCTCTTTTAGTTTTCACGACTTCCATTATTTCATTAGATATATTCTACTGATCTTCATCTATCGTACATAAATATCCTCTAAGATCAAATGAATACTTTTTTGTCATAGTTCAACTCCTCTACTAAGAAAATATGTTGATATCTATTAAGTGGATTGTCATCTCAAAATGGCATGCCATGTATTCTTTTAAAGACCATTCAGTTCAATTGAGCAAATTTTCAATCTCAATTAGACATAAATTCTTTAGGTCTTCTTGTGAGATTATAAGTTCTGCAAAAAAAGTAGAAAATTTTGTTTCTATGCAGGGTTCAATTAAAAAAATTTATTTTCACATAATGCATTTTATATGAATTAATACGTTAAAAAAACCTTCTTTATATTGAAATACCTTGATTCCGCAATATTCTCCGTCGATCAAATAAAATTCCATCCACCAGGAGTTCCTAAAATTTTTCCAAAACATTTTGTAAGTGACTCATGGTACTTGTCACTAATAATGTGACGAACAACTTTCTTAGCAGATTCCCAGATCCTAACTTAGTCACCTTTTTATACCATTAGTAAATTCTTTATCATCAGTCAATAACCTCAATGCTTCACATGCTTTTTCGAAGATAATATTCTCACAAATTGTATCTATAAAGAAGTCGTTCGAAATTTGTAAAATAGTGATGTTTTATACCTTAAAATAATATAATCTCTATATTCTATTACATCTCATTTTTTATCATTGAAAAATAATTTGAATTTAATAACATAAAAATGACCCGTGCAACGCACGAGTGTGATACTAGTGATACAAATATGACAGTGTTGATTCAAAAGATGATACGAACCGATAAGGATATCAAACATTCAATAATGGTATGCCTGGTTGCAATGTAAAGGGCATGTTTGGGAATAGCATTAGAGATTAGCGTTAGCGTTTTGGATAAAATTTTAACGGTGCAGATTAATTTGAAAACGCTAACGCTAAACACTGCCCGTAGATAGCCTTTTGAAAACGCTAACGCTAATCTCTAACATTATTCCCAAACAGGCCCAAACTCTTTAACTGGTTTTTTAATCTAAGTTAAAAACGTAGTAGTTATTACTCATCAAAGTCATCAGTCATCATCATTAATTATTTTTCGATTCGTATTAGAGTATTTATCTAATTTTATTTTTTCACCGTCAATTATGATTGTTTTTTACTTATATAATTAAAAATGGAACAAAAATTAAGGGGCTGTTTGGCAACTTCTGAATAGGTAAGTGCTAAACGAGTAAGAGGTCTGAACCATTAAGTACTGAACCAGTAAAAGGTCTGACCCATTAAGAGCTACTCCCTCCGTTTGGAAAAACCCTTCCCATTTGATTTGGGGGCAAAAATAAGGAAATGTATCACACCCGTGCGTTGCACGGGTCATTTTTATGTCATTAAATTCAGATCATTTTTCAATGATAAAAATGAGATGCAATAGAATATAGAGATTATATTATTTTAAGGTACAAAACATCAGTGCTTTACAAATTTTGAAAGACTTCTTTATATACTACTCTCTCCGTCCCTGAAAACTTTTCTCCTTTCTTTTTTCATCCTTACAAATTTCGAAAGACTTCTTTATTAAAAAGACACTTTCATCCCTTACTTTTTCATACCCTACCTATCACATCATACATTTTTACTAATAATCTATCCATCAAATCATACTTTTACCCATCACATCAAAGGACATTTTTGGAAATTCAATACCAAAATACACTCCTATTAAATCTCTCTTCAAAATCAAAACTCTCATGTTTTTCGGGACGGAGGGAGTACATTATTTGTATAATTTCTGGGTATATTGTCTTCATTATTAAAATTGTTTAACTTTCCTTTTTAATTATTTCCAATTTAAATTAATGATCGACGTTAGTATTATTATTAGAGTAATGCTAGAGTCACAAACAAACAGTTCACAAAATTTACAAACTTACCTTTTTAACACTTTTCTAAAAATAAGATGCACTCAAATAATAAAAGATATTTTATTTTAAAATCCACAAAAGGCAAGTTTGTGAAGTTTGTGAACTATATGTTTGTGACTCTAGCATTTTCCTTATTATTATGTTATTACGTAAGTTTTTAATTTTAATGTAATTGAGTCATTACCATTTTTACATTTAATGCAATTTAGTATGTGTATTATTAATTACCATAATTAAGTTGGCGGAGGCCATTTTAACGTAATTTATCTTTTTTTAAAAAAAAGAAATTGCGAGGAATATTAATTGTCAAAAAAAGAAATACCGTGTAATATCAACTTACCATTTCCTTTTTAATTATTTCCAAACC